GGGAGGGAGGGGACCCCGGGCTGAGCAGTGTCCCCGGGTGTTCAACGGAAATAAGGGCGCTCAGCGGGATGGGACTCGAGACCCCTTGCAACACCTGTGCCACCAGCAGCTGGCATGGCCACCGTATCCAGAGCCTCTCCAGGCTGCCCCGGGGCGAGGAGGCTCTGCTCTGCAGACAAAAGCAGGCACCGGGAACAGCGAAGGCTCTAGGCCAGTGGTTCTCAACCTTCTGGCCCTTTAAATACAGTTCCTCACGTTGTGACCCAACCATAACGTTATTTTCGTTGCTACTTCATAACTGTGATGTTGCTACTGTGATGAATCGTCATGTAAATATCTGATATGCAGGATGGTCTTTGGCGACCCCTGTGAAAGGGTCGTTCGACCGCCAAAGGGGTCGCGACCCACAGGTTGAGAACCGCTGCTCTAGGAGGTGGAAGATGGCAGCCATGTGGGATGAGCAGGTGCTTTGCTAGGGCGCCTGGGGGAGGAGCACTGGGGCGGAGGTGAGGGACAGGAAGGGTCCCCTCCTTCCTTCCGAGGCGCCCCCAGGCCCGGCACTCAAGGCCTAGCCCCGTCCTGCCTCCTGGCTGCGTTACACGTGCCCCCTCAGCCCAGCTCTGGGCCTCGTCCTGGTCCCTGCTGCCCTGGCCGCGTGACCCTGTGGAGGTTCAGAACCAGCCACCCCAAGATGTGCCTCAGTGATGTGGACATGAAAAACGTCCACGCCTCGGCCCTGGCTGGGTAGCCAGCTGGTTAGAGCGTCACCCCGACAGGCCGAGGCAGGTCTGGCTCCCCAGGCAGGGCACCTGCGGGAATCAGCCAGCGACTGCAGCCAAGAGTGGAACAAGCGTCGATGTCTGTCTGTTTCTCTGTCTCTCTTTCTCTCCCCCCGCTTTCCTTTCTCTCTAAAAATCAATCAATCAATAAAAAAATCTCCCCCCCAAAAAAATGTCCCAGTCTCTAGATAATTTTTTATTTTTAGTCCTCACCCAAAGATATGTTTATTGATTTTGGAGAACATCTATTGGTACATACCTCAACCAGAAACCTCACTGAGCCACACCAACCAGGTGAGAGCTTTTATGAGTTTATTTGAACCAAACTGACAACAATTGCTGGGGAAGCAAATTCTCAAAGGATTGAGCAAAAGCTCTGGAGAGTGAGTTTTCCAGCTTATTTAACATCACATGGAATCCCAAGGGACCCTGAACAGCCAAAGCAACCTTGAAAAAGGACGCAGTTGGAGGTCCCACGCTTCCTGATGAAACCGACGGCAAAGCCACGGTGATTGCACCAGCTGGTGCTGCAGACAGACAGACAGACAGAGGCTGGTGGGACGCACGGAGCCCCGAAATCAGCCTCACCCCTGTGGTCACATGGATTCCCACCAGGGGCCACGGCCACGGCCACGGCCACGACGGGAAAGGACAGTGTCCTCAGCAGATGGCGCCGGGAGGACGGACGGCCACGCCGCAGGGTGAGGATGGACCCGACCTCGCACCACACACAAAGGCAACTGACCAGCATCAAACTTTTATGAGTTTATTTGAACCAAACTGACAACAATTGCTAGGGAGGCAAATTCTGAAAGGATTGAGCAAAAGCTCTGGAGAGTGAGTTTTCCAGCTTATTTAACATCACGTGGAATCCCAAGGGACCCTGGACAGCCAAAGCAACCTTGAAAAAAGAACGCAGTTGGAGGTCCCACGCTTCCTGATTAAACCGACGGCAAAGCCACGGTGATTGCACCAGCTGGTGCTGCGGACAGACAGACAGACAGACGGAGGCCGGTGGGACGCACGGAGCCCCGAAATCAGCCTCACCCCTGTGGTCACATGGATTCCCACCAGGGGCCACGGCCACGGCCACGGCCACGACGGGAAAGGACAGTGTCCTCAGCAGATGGCGCTGGGAGGACGGACGGCCACGCCGCAGGGCGAGGTGGGGACCTGACCTCGCACCACACACAAAAGTAACTCAAAATGGGTCAGAGACCCAAATGTAAGACTTCAGACTATAAAACCCTGACAAGAAGGCGAAGGAGCAAGTCCCCATCTCCCCCCCAAAAAAATGTCCCAGTCTCTAGATAATTTTTTATTTTTAGTCCTCACCCAAAGATATGTTTATTGATTTTGGAGAGAGAGAGAGAGAAACATCTATTGGTACATACCTCAACCCGCAACCTCACTGAGCCACACCAGCCAGGTGAGAGCTTTTATGAGTTTATTTGAACCAAACTGACAACAATTGCTGGGGAAGCAAATTCTCAAAGGATTGAGCAAAAGCTCTGGAGAGTGAGTTTTCCAGCTTATTTAACATCACATGGAATCCCAAGGGACCCTGAACAGCCAAAGCAACCTTGAAAAAGGACGCAGTTGGAGGTCCCACGCTTCCTGATGAAACCGACGGCAAAGCCACGGTGATTGCACCAGCTGGTGCTGCAGACAGACAGACAGACAGAGGCTGGGGAGAAGTGGCAGAGATGGTACAGACCCACCCAGTGGAAGAAGAGATGCCAAAGGGCAGAAAAGCCAGGTTAGGCCAGAGGCAGGAGGGTAGGACAGTGTCCTCAGCAGATGGCGCCGGGAGGACGGACAGCCACGCCGCAGGGCGAGGTGGGGCCCGACCTCGCACCACACACAAAAGTAACTCAAAATGGGTCAGAGACCCAAATGTAAGACTTCAGACTATAAAACCCTGACAAGAAGGCGAAGGAGCAAGTCCCCGTAAAATCAGGTTCGGCGATGGCTCTTTAGCTCTAACTCCAAAACCACAGCAGCAGAGACAAGAAATAGAGGTACGTGGGGCTTCCTCAAAACTAAACGTCTGTGCCTCGGGGACACCATCGACGGAGTGAAAAAAACAGCTGACAGAGCAGGAGAAGAATATTTGCAAATCGCATACCTGACACCGGTTTAGCGTCCGGAATATACGAGAGCTCACAGCCCCCCAATCTCCACAGTCAAAAACAGGCTCAGCCTCCTCGGGGGGCTCAGGGGCTCAGGGGCTGAGCGCCGACCTAGGAACCAGGAGGTCACGGTTTGATTCCCAGTCAAGGCACAGGCCCGGGTTACGGGTTCGATCCCCAGTGCGGGGCGTGCAGGAGGCAGCCGATCCATGATCCTCTCTCATCATTGATGTTTCTATCTCTGTCTCCCTCTCCCTTCTTCTCTGAAATAAATAAAACATATTTTTTAGCCGAAACCGGTTTGGCTCAGTGGATAGAGCGTCGGCCTGCGGACTGAAAGGTCCC